GAAAAAAAAAAAAAAGAAAAAAAAAAAAAAATATAGAAGAGCATAAAAATACCTCAACTTCTTCGTTCTCTGTATCACTTGGATGATAAGGTGAAGTATGGTTATTTTGTTGGTTTATTGTTTGTACTGTATTTTCATAAGGCGATGGTGTTCTAGTACTACGTACAGATACATTTTGCTAATTTTTAAAAAGATGAAAATATTAAAATCTATTTCAATTTTGTTAATTTATATCTTAAATTGTACCTGTCCATTCCACTGATTTCGTTCTCGTGATTGCAAATCATACATGGGAGACGGACTTCGACGTTTAAAATTCGATTGAGAATGTGCTACATGTATCAAAACATTCGTTAATCACTATTTAAGATTATTTGAGGAAAATAAGTAAAGATGATTCTCATACCAGTTCCATTCAAGCTTGTAGAAACATTCAATGGAGGATGTTGCTGTCTTGAGGCAGTCCATTTTGGAGGTTGAACATAAGTGTGTGTTCCTCTAAGACGTCTTAAACTTTCAGAACTTCGAGAAGCTATATTATTTACAACTCCGTTATCCCGAACCTGCGGAATATGAATTCTTCTACTAAGTACTTTCGTTTTCTCCACCTTAAATTAATAGGAACAATAAATCACAATACGCGACATTTTTTATGACAATTTTTTTATAACACTAAAATTTCGATAAAGTTACATACTTTGTACTGTTCTTCCCATAAATGACCAAATTGCTGGGAACCAGGGACTTGCCAAAATAGCGGCGATTGGGCCCTTGCAAGTTCATTATAAGTTCTATTAAAAGCTACGTTATTATTATTATTTGAATATGGTCTCCCGACGAAAAGAGATGGCAGTTGAACCATTCTGTAAATAATAAATATGAAACGATCTTAATTTATAAAATATTTGTAGCAATTTTTGCTATTATGTTTAACATTATGTCAGATAAGATCAAAGTTTTTTAAATTTCATTGCCCAAATCAAGCAAGGACAAAATCGACTCGCGACTCCAAGGCTCTTTCTCGAATTCTCATCATTTTTATAACTATCAATACACATATAAGTATATTAGGTAGTTTACAATTACCCTACTGGTGCTGAAGCAGAAGTACAATGAGTATTCCATCCAGAATATGCTCTAATAACTGGTGATGATGATTGGTAATGTGGAATGTGAAGGGTTCTCCCACCCGCTAAAGAAGCACCTGCACTGTACATTTGCCTTGGAGAACTAGTAACAATTTCGGATTCACTTACAGTACCGTTTCTATTTATAGAATTTCCTAAAAATATACAATGCATTAATAAATATTATGAATTTATACATTTATAAACTATTATATTGTTTATACTGCCATATTGATATTAATTGAATTATTAACACTTTCATATCAATGTGACTATTATCATTTTAATAATAAAGTAAGACTCATAGAAAAAAACAAAATAAAAAGTAAATTAAATTACCTCGAACTTTTTGAAAGATGTTTTCTGTTTCTTTTTGAAATTTTACAGAAATTTTTGAACCAAGAAAAATCTTTCCATCCATACGCTTCTGAGCTCTGAAAAAAATCACATTGTTATTAAACAAAGTCGACTAACTGTAATTACAAGAGCTCACTACACAAGATAATCAATCCTGTCTATAAATGACCTTGAAGAATTTAATAAACATATTTATACTATAAATTAAGATATCAGTTAATTTTTCAAAGAAACTTTAAATATTTTATTTAATATTTGCAATTCTCTAAACGTTTCTGATTTTCGAGATTACAATAATCTTTTACTAAAAAATGTATTATTAACTTACCTTACATGTGAATAAAATCATCAGATAATGTCAATATTGTAATATAGATAAATAAAATGATAAATAACAACAATGTATCAAAAAAATAACAACTTTTTAACACTAATTACTACCATATACATATACGAACTAAGTATGCTATACAAATCAAAATTGTGATCTTCTTACAGTGCCACTATGTTCGTTACATTGCTGAACAGTATTTGAATTCTATCTTATTTATGTATTTATCCCTACTACTTTAAATACCGCTTTTTTTCATGAACGTTAAACAGACCAATAGTATGTCTGTAAATAGGAACGACACATTGGTTACATAATAGGCGGGATATTCGAACAAAGCTACCTCTGACATAGTATGTTATTCACATTATGATTAAATTAGGCACAGTATATTTTGATGTACAGTTATCTTATACACACAATTAAACAAAATTCATAAAAAAGTAAAATCACAGCAAACATCTATAATACCTGTCTGCAAAAGGTTTTGAAGTAAAGCGTACAATTGCAGTATTTGGCTGAATTTCCATCACTTGACCACCACAGCTTTCAAACATTTGTTTAAGACAATACTTAATGGATATAATATCTTGATCTTCAGGAAGGTTACTAACTAGGAGATCATAATATGCAGTAACCTGGAAGGAACATAAACTTTACAAAATACTAAAAAACATACATATATTAAACGAAATTAACATGCTAATATTTTACACTTATAAAAATAGTATTTAATTAATATTTTAATTTATATACATATTGCTATAAATTTAAAAACATTAATAATAACAAATAAATTAATGAATATATGTCAATATATAAAAATGAAAAGATTTATGGTGATTATGATAAAACAGTTTACAAAACCAGAAGCTTTAATTATAAAATTAAAAAGTTTTACCTGTAGATTTGTAGATGGCAGTGAATCCATAAGTTCTGAGAAATCATAGTGCTCATTAGCACATAGTATTAATGCTTCAGATGTATTCTTCATATGTAAAAGTATCACATGAATTTTTTTCCTGTAACGTAAGTCACTGAGGTCAGGGGCAAAATTAATATCACCAGATATTAAAATTACAGCTGCTGGACTTCCATGGATATCAGCAAACCTCCTAATGGATTGTTTAAGTTTTTCATCAGCAGCATTTTTACATTCTCTAGCAACATGTATTAAATTAACCTGTAGAATACAAGATTTGTAAGTGTAATGTTAAAATAACATATCTTTAAGGAACATGTGAACTGAACTTACTTGAGCATTATTTAATTCTTTCATTACTCTACTATTTTCTCTTACAACATCACATACTACAATAAATTCTGCTTCCCTATAACCACTAAAAAATTTATCTCTAATTGCTTGTGTTGCAGCCATGGCAGACCTTCCTTTTGGAACCTGCAATAATCATAAGAAATATTATATTCAATTATTATTACATAATATATTTCAATAATACATAATTATACAATTTAATACTAACATGGCAATTTTCTATGTCCCAGAATACACCAATGGGTGGAAGATATGTTGGTAAAGATGAAAAATTGACTGGACTATCATGACGTGAGAAACAATGATATTTATAGTGACTTAACAGTGGGGAAACAGATGCTGCTTTTTCAACTGTAATGCTATTATTATTACTATTTAGGTCACACGATGATTGAGATATGCTACTTTCCATCAGCCTCTCATTTAGACCTTCTATCTTATCTTTATCATTCGCACAAAGTGCATAATAATCTGCAGTATCTTGGTCTGCCATGTGGTTTAAAGAATGTCATATAACATTTCAATACAAAAGCTACGATCAAAATAGTGTATATGATGAAAAACATTCAAAAGAAAATATAAAAAGATATTTTATTAATATATATCATATAACAAAAATAAAGATAATATTAAGGAAAAAAAAATATAAATAAAGTTTTATCATAAAATTTATAGATATTATTATTACATTTTGTATTGTTAATAACACGTATGCATTATTATCAACAACAACATTGAATAGTATATAAAAATTATACGGATAACATTCACAGCATATAATATATCATACAAAAAACTGTACGTTACCTAAAATATTAATCCATTATATAGTTTAAAAAATTTTTGTCCGCTGTATGAGCATACAGGATGTACTCAAACGTAAGATAAACGCAATTTCTTAAAAAGTTCTAGAAAAACTACGAAAGAATCGGCACATTAAAATCACAAACGATACGTACATTGTACCGACTCGCGAATAAAATTAATACCACAAACAGGAACCAAACACCGATCAAAGCAGCATGCAACTATCCAATTCTCTACCTCTCCCGCTTCTTACGCAGTGCACAATGCATCTTGCAAGCTCAAATAGTAACTTCATATTCTTAAATTACTAGTTAAATCTATGTAACTAAATTTAGTATTCTGTATATTTATTTCGCATTTAAACATTAAGAAATATCATTCAACAATAAAATAACATGAAAATGTTAAAAATTTCATATTTATTACATCTATCATATGTTACTATTAATACAAATAAAAACTATATATTTATATTTATTATGATTAATATAATTAAAATAAATGTGATATAATATTTATAATAAAAAAGTATCCTTTTTGAATATTTTTATTTTCATAAATTAATAATTAATTAGTAATTTTTATTTTTTTATTTTATCGGTCTTTATACAATATTAAACAAAATCGCGTATAATCAAATTTATTATATAGATAAATGATGATAAATATAATTGGTCAAATGATAAATACTAAAAGGAATGACGAAAATTATTTTTTTTTTTTTCTGAATTTTCTTAAACAACATGCACATTGAAGTTGTTCTGTTAAGTTTCTACCATTATAATTCAGATTCCATGATTGTTACTGCGCGGTGAGTTGTCCAAGTTATGGTCACTTCAAAAATTTCGATAACATGGCATCGTTAGACAATGACTCGTTTTATGAAATTAAATCACATTTTGTTGATACTGTTAAAAAATCTGAATGGGTTCCCTTATCTCTTACTTTTGTTGAGTATCCTCAAGGTGAGTATTTTAAAATTTTTCAGTAAAACATTATTTCTTTCCTTTATATGATTATATAAAAATTGTTTGTTATAAGTATACTTAAATTTTCTTTAAGAAATATTGTATTCTTAGACTAAATTTTTTTAGCAGAATTTTTGTTAACATGTATATTTTCCAATCAAAATTCTATTTTTAGCATATTTTTTGTATTTTGAATTATTTTTGTTTATTTCAACTTTTTGCATATGTTTAACAAGTAGAGTTATTTTCATTATGTATTTCACCTGTATATTTCACTAATGAATATAAAATTCAAAGTTTTTAAATATTATGTAGTCATATTTATATTTAGTTTGTGCCAAATATTAAAGACAAACTTATTAAAATTTCCTTTAATTTGCAGGTGATTTATTTGGAAAATTCTTAGCTTTAATAAGTTTAATACCATTTGCTATTATAGCTGGTTTCATAACATTAATTCTTTTTAGAAGAGATTTACATACAGTAAGTAGAAATTTTTAAGCTGATTTAGTATCTTTAATTTTAATACTTAAAATATTTTTTTTTAGATTACATTTTTTGGCGGTGTTCTAATTAATGAATGTATAAATTCTATATTAAAACACACTATATGTGAACCAAGACCAATGAAACGTGAATCTATTTATGTTGAATATGGTATGCCATCAATGCATGCACAGTTCATATGGTTTTTTACTGCATATACTATACTTTTTATATGCATCAGGTAATATCTTTTTACTATGTAAATATAGAAAACAATTATATTTTATTCTAATTGTTATATTTTTACATGTTTATAGGTTACATCACAATAATAATAGTAGTATTTCAGAAAAGTTCTGGAGAATTATTATCATAGCTGCTTGTATAATTGTTGCTATTTTAGTTACATACAGCAGAGTTTATTTATTATATCACAGTAGTTCTCAGGTACTGTGGGGTACATTCATAGGTATTATATTGGGGACAACATGGTTTATAATTACATACATAGTTCTTACACCAATATTTCCTATAATTGTTTCATGGTAAGTAGTTAGTAAAAAGATTCTTAATCTCAAAAAAGGCAGTTACATCTAACATTACATTTTTAGCTGGATATCAGAATATCTGTTATTACGAGATACAACATTAATTCCTAACATCCTTTGGTTTGAATATACAAATATTCGTACAGAGGCACGTGCACGTTCAAGGAAATTAGTATCAATGAAATCACAATGACGTCTAATATCTGGCCAATGGGCTGATAATAAATAGAACATGAATGTTAAAAAAATCATTCAATATCAAATAAACAACTTCAGCCAGATGAAACAAAAAATTTAAATTCATGTGGCTTGAAAAAATAATCATAAACAATTAATGGCATTGCGTTTTGCCACTATGATATAATAATATTCGATAATATTTAAATGTATAAGGCATTAGTACAAATTTTGCGTATGAATTTTCATATTCATATCGTTAGATCGTGTACGTTTTGTGAATTAAGTTTTTGTAATTTTGTAGAAGTTATTTATAATGTGTACTTCATGATGAGCATCATAATTCTTTGTTAATTTTTATTTTTACATTTTATTCTACAAAGACAAAACGTTATCTATAACTTTGCAAAACTAGCCATATTTGATTTAAATGAAAAATAAATCTAGTGCAATAACATAATAAAATATGTAGTTTTGTCACTAGGTAGAATAAATTTATACACTTTATATTTGTTTAACTACAACTATATGCTATGAGTAGTAGAAAAATACATTGATCATTAAATTCAAGTTCATATGATCAACAGATTCAAAATTATTGGATCTTATATCTAGTTAAAGTTGTTAAGTTATTAATATTACATTTCATTTTTATTACTCATTTTTTGTGACGTGTGTTCAAGTACAACTGCTCTTTTAACTTTTATATGACATATAGTTCCAAATATTGTATACAGTTCCTTTTTTTACTGCAGTATGCTTAAGTAAGTAATATTAGAATCTATTTATGCTAATATTAAAAATGTTGCGAATGAAAAGACAAAATTAGAATTAACAAACAATTAAATTGAGAAGTTAGCATTTAAATTATATGTGAAATAAAAAATTGAATTAAATTGTTGAAAACTACTTAAACATTTAAATAATGAATGACTTGGTTGATTTTTAAGTGTGATTGTTTCTAGAAAAATGATACATTTTTTATTTGTACTTGTATATAGTATGTTTGTTTTATACTTAATATAAAGAAAAAACAAAATGTTAGAATTACATCATCATTATGTTGCTCAATAAAATTTCGATATAACGATGTAATGTAATCTTAAACAAATACAAAAATTGATATCGAAAATGTGCAAAAATTGTAATTCTTGAATCGATGCGAAATTACTATGATGTAAATATGCAATAACATTTTATAATTGAACTTTAAATAAAGTTAATGCACAGTGCAACAAATTCTTATTTTATATTGACCTATATACTTTATGAATAAATATATACATCTTTTTTAAATAAATTAATTTCATTACATAGATTGTATTTTAAAAAATATTTTATTTATATTTCGCGATACGTAATATCGATATGTATAATTAACCGGATGATCAATTCTTGAACGATATGAGAGATCGAGATTCAAGTTTGACAAGATGTCCGAAAATTGAAGAATATTAATGAAAATTTTTAATCGGCTAGAGATTTAATATTGTTTATTAGTTTTACATTGTTGCTCTTAACATTGATTTTTTAAATTAATTTAAAACTAGAATTGGTAAGTTCGATTAAAATCATTGACATTATATTGAAATAAAAAGAAACGAAATAAGTCACAACACTTCATCTGTAATGTTGTGTAGTATCAAATCATACTTAATATTATTTATTTTATACGGTAACTGTATTTATTTCACTTTATTGGGAATTAATTGAATTCGAATTATAATAAAAACTATAAAATTATTTAAATGTCGAGGTTACTTTATATTTTTGAATATATTTTTGTTAAATATAAGTAATAAATGCTTGTAAATCTAATTAAACAGTCAACTAATATAATTAGTGTATTAAAATTTATGTTTTGCAGTTTGAAAATTATATATATACAAAATGATAATTACAATTATTTCAGAAATTTAATTTGTAATTCTTTCAGAACACGGTGAATTCTCTAAATCTAAGCTGAAACTGTTTTTCTTTCCTCAATGAAACCTGTTCTGTCATGTCTTACACTGAATTGGAACATGGTTATCAGGTAAATAAAAATGTTCTTCATTTATATAGAATAATCAACATTCTCTTTAACAATTTTAATATTTTTTGATTTTTTATTAAATATGTTGAAATAAATTTTTGTGGTGAAAGATGTAAATGTCTCTTATTTAATTTTCAATTTATTTTAGTTTAATTAAATTAATGTTATAATGATTACAGAAGAAAATAGTAATCAGATATTCTTATTAATCATTTTAAAGGGATAAGTATAATATCAAATTTATAGTGCATTAAATTCCTTAGTTTAATTAAATATCAAAAATATGGAGTTTTGATGGATTATTAATCACTAGGGTCTACGGAGTGCCAGCCGACCAATTTTCTATGTAGGCGATTTAAATACTGTACAACCAACCCTTGTGGGTCCTGTTGCTCCTTCTATATATCGTTCATCAAAAAGAGTAAGTTTTGTTTTCTCTTTATATAATATTCAATATAATTTTTAAGGACCAATTATCAAATTAATCATTTTATATTAAATTTTGCTAATAGATTACAAATTTCATCAGTAATGAAATATAAATTTCTGAGACAACTTAATTTAAAATATATTCTTAGAAGAATGATCATGTAGTATCAAAATTTTGCAACATTTATATAACTGTTACAGATATTAAGACTAAACTAAATAATTAAAGAATAACATCTTTGATGATTTATCAGAAATAGATGTTTAGAGTGAGAAAAGTATACTCTATACTGTGCATGTAAACTCCATTTTATTTTGAATTAATGAATACTAGTAACAAAGGTTAGAAAATCGTTTTGTTAAAGAAATGATTATTTTTGACAGTACTACACAGTACCTGTATGAATTGCTGTCTTTTTTTTTTGCTTTTCTGTTTTAATATTGATACTATATATATGGAGTTATATTTCTTAAGTAATTTATTTTTAACAGTAAATATAAACATGCTTCACTAAATTTAACTTAGTATCTCATTGTTTTCATTATTTAGTTATCAATGTTTTATTAACTAACTTTAAGTAACTATATGACTCATGAAAAAGTACTCTTCTAATACTCAGCAGTCTAAAAATAAATTGAATTGGAACTTGTTAAATACGTTTTATATTTAACTGTATAGTTACACATTCAATGTATAAATTCCATATTTTGTGTGCTATAATTAGGATATTTATTCAACCAATAATTGCACTAAAGTATATAAAGAGAAGAATGCCTGATTTAATATTATGTGTATTTAGTGTCTAATAATTGTGAATTGTATTAAGTATATTAGATGATTGATAAAAAAGACAATATATCATTTAATATCAATGTTAATATTACTATCAATTTTTAAGGCTACAAATTGCAAACTCCTTACAAATATTAGTAATTGTGATATTTTTAGTACAAATGTAGTATTTTATTTTAGTAGTTTATACAATATGTTTCATATATACATTTATATATTTATTATATATTTATTATATATTAATTCTATTATGTAAATATAAATTGTATTTTTGTATTCTAGTAATAGCATTCATTGTTTGCTGATCATTGTATTTAATTATGGTAGTAGTTTATGATACTTTGAAATTGAATTTATAATGGAAAATACAAATTCATTACATTCATCAACAATTCCTGATGTTTACTTCTTCGATTGTGATAATGAAGCAGAACCATATTGGCAAATGATGGTAGAGTCTCTGTTAATTAATTTTAAAGTTGTTGTCATTGTATTTATTTTTATGCATTGTTTTTAATGATTTTTTGTAGAAGCATTAAATGTTTTAATATTACTATAAATTATATCACAATTTATTAAATACAAATTTATCATTTATATTTCATAATTTTTCTGCATTAAAGTTATATAATTTATAAAATATTGAAATCTTTAATAAGAAATTTTATCATTACAAAGTAAAAATTTTAACATTTACATAGAAGAAATTTCTTGGTTTCAAGATAGAGTGAATAAATCAAATGTTCTAGAGACATAGTTTCTTATCTTTATGTAAAGACTTTTTTATTAGTCTGCTTTTATCTAGTTTTTGTTCAACATACAATTGTACAAGTGATAGTGTTGACATTAAATAAATTACAAATTAGTTAGAAGTTGTTAGATTAATTTTCTTGATGTTTATAATATTCTTAATAAGTGCTTGGATAAAATAATTTTTAATAGCTGTTAATTACTTTTTTATGTTTTAAATAATAAGATAAAATTTAATTTAAAAAATATTTAAAAAATTGGAATTCGATATACATAAGATACATATTTGTAAACTTATTGTTTATTTAAAAAAGAAGAAATACAGTTCTAGATTAAAATAAAAATATTAGTAGTAGTAGATAAAAGATTAGTGACACCAAGAAAAATTGTATTCATCTATAAAAACAATTCTCTATTTATTTTATAATATATTTTTAATATCTGTTAAACCTATTTACTAATAATATAATTTTATTGATTATTATAAAATTGCAATATTTTTTTAATAATTTAAAAATGTATTAAAATAATGAAATTAATATAATTATGAATTGTTACACAAATATAAAATTCAGTATTCATAGTATATAATTTATAGTATATAATTTTTAAATGGAAATATAAAATGATAAATCATCTGATATTTCATTACCTTTTATTACTTTTTTGTCAGTTACATATATGATACATTTGTAACAACTGTATATTTAGTATTCGATTTATATTTCCCTTTTTATGTAGGCAAGTAATGCATGTGGTTGGTCTTTTTTACATCTAATTGTAATCATCTAAGAATGAATAACAAATCGAGATTGTATGAAAATTATTCTAAACAAGCTCTTGACAGACCTGGCTTTTTATCCTGCTTAAAAATGTACTGGGTGAGCAATATTTAACACAATTATTAATAGACATTATATAAATTTTTACCCTATATGAATAAAAATTTCACCATTTATTTTTATAATTTTATTTTTTATATTATTACTAGCTTTGTTTAAATTTATATGACACTATGTGAGTATAAAAATAGCAGGAGTAAGACAAAAATAATTCATAAATATTATATACAACAAATTGTTACTAAACAAAATTTTTGTTTAGGCCGAACTGTCGGACGGGTGTAGTAATGATGATGGATGCATGGGTGGAAGTGACTTGGAAGGAGAAGGGAAGCAAGTTTTGGTTGGAATCTGTGCGATGGCAAAAAAATCTCAGAGTAAACCAATGAAAGAAATTTTAACAAGATTAGAAGAATTTGAGTACATTAAAATAGTAGTATTTCCTGAAGAAGTTATTTTAAAGGTATTGCTAGTAGAAAATAAAAATGTTTTAATTTTTATATATCAAAATATATATTTACAGGAGTCTGTAGAAGATTGGCCAATTATTGATTGTTTAATAAGTTTCCACAGTAAAGGTTTTCCTCTTGATAAAGCTATAAATTATGCTAGCCTTAGAAATCCTTTTATCATCAATAATTTACCAATGCAGTATGATATTCAGGTATATAACTGGTGATAAATATTGATAAATGTTGTAAATAACAACAAATATTTTTTTAAATAATATTAATTTCACATGTAATAGGATCGTAGAAGAGTTTATGCTATTTTAGAGAGTGAAGGTATCGAAATTCCGAGATATGCTGTTTTGGATAGAGATTCATCAGATCCAAAACGTATGCTATATAAATCATTTATACTTTTTCAGTTCTATGTCATAAATATATAGTAAAAAATTTATTTTAGATCATGAATTGGTGGAATCAGAGGATCATGTGGAAGTTAATGGTGTTACATTTAACAAACCTTTTGTAGAAAAACCAGTATCTGCAGAAGATCATAACATTTATATTTATTATCCTACATCTGCAGGTGGAGGAAGTCAAAGATTATTTAGGAAGGTATATAGTAAATAAAATAAAATAAAATTTTTAACTTGAAACAATTAAAATTTATGTTTATATGATAAGAATAAAATTATTTTTTATATCTATCTTATAGATTGGAAGTCGTAGTAGCGTATATTCACCAGAATCTCGAGTTCGTAAAACAGGTTCTTACATTTATGAAGATTTCATGCCAACCGATGGTACAGATGTTAAGGTTTATACTGTGGGTCCAGATTATGCTCATGCAGAGGCAAGAAAAAGTCCTGCATTAGATGGTAAAGTTGAAAGAGATTCAGAGGGAAAAGAAATTCGCTATCCAGTTATACTAAGTAATGCTGAAAAGCTAATTAGTAGAAAAGTGTGTCTAGCTTTCAAACAAACAGTGTGTGGTTTTGATTTACTTAGGTATAAAGACATTTGAAATACTATGAAATTATTAGCACATAATAATCCACTCTTCACTATATTAATAATTTATATCTTGTTAGAGCAAATGGCCAGTCATTTGTATGTGATGTAAATGGATTCAGTTTTGTGAAAAATTCTAACAAATACTATGACGATTGTGCAAAGATTTTGGGAAATATGATTTTGAGGGAATTAGCTCCCACTTTACACATACCATGGAGTGTTCCCTTTCAATTAGACGACCCACCTATTGTACCTACTACATTTGGGAAGATGTATATTAATTTTATTTTTATACCAATGTTTTTAAATTAACTATAGATATCATAATTGTATTAATATTTCTGTATTTACTGCAGGATGGAATTGCGATGTGTAGTTGCTGTTATAAGACATGGAGATCGAACACCGAAACAAAAAATGAAAGTGGAAGTTCGTCATCCGAAGTAAATATATTATATGTTTAAATTTGTTTAAAAAATAACTTTTCATTCATCCTATTAATTATAGATTTTTCGAGATATTTGCAAAATATGATGGCTATAAACATGGTCACATCAAATTAAAGAGACCTAAGCAATTGCAAGAAATTTTGGACACTGCTCGTAGTTTATTAGCTGAAATACAACATCGTGCTGCTGGACCAGAATTGGAAGAAAAACAGGGAAAATTAGAACAATTGAAAAGTGTCTTAGAAATGTAAGCATCATTCTCTTTAATATATATTTTTTATTTTAATTGAAAAAAAATTATACTTAACTAAAATTGTATCTTAGGTATGGACATTTCTCAGGAATAAATCGCAAAGTGCAAATGAAGTACCAACCAAGAGGGCGACCTAGAGGAAGCTCATCTGATGATGGTACAAAACATAGAATATATCTTTTATACATATATATATATAAAACATAAATAATTTTCATTAGATCGACTTGGAGAACCTTCACTTGTTTTGATACTGAAATGGGGTGGAGAATTAACACCAGCTGGTCGTATTCAGGCAGAAGAATTGGGAAGAATATTTCGCTGCATGTATCCTGGTGGTCAAGGTAGACACCTTAGTGGTTCGTATCTTATGTTCATACGCTTATCATGCTCATTTTTAAGTTAATTTATATCTCATAATGAAATTGTTTATTTAATAAGTTTCACATGTTGGCTGAACTCCAGCTGGACTTATTTATCTGGATTGCTCAATTGAGCGTATGCATAATATACTATTGCTACTTATATTGTACAGTACATATGCATATAAAAAAATTTAATTGAAATAGAACATATGTGTATGTATTAGGTAGCTGATATAACTTCTTTGTTATTTAAAAACGAAAATATAAAAGTAAATGGATGGTAAACATTGAGCTTTTAATTAAGTTATCGATGATTTCATTTTCGGTAAAGGATAGTAAATATCTTATACCTTTACGAAAATCTTTGATTCATAGATAATTTCAAATATTATTTCAGAGGAAGACTCAGAGATGTTACCAAACCACGGTAACTTTTTATTCTGAATCAACGCTTTTTTGTAGTTATATGTAGATTGTGCCACAGATGCATAGAAATAGTAATTTAAAAATAATAATTCTATTAATAATTGTATGAAAATTTTTCTTTTTTACAGTACTAAAATCACTCAAAAAGTGTTAAATTAAAAGAAGGAAAACACTGTTTCTATGCTAATTAAATGTGTATTCACTTTATTGTAACGAAGTGCTTTAGAATTTTAAGATTAGTTGCTTTTATCTATTTTATGGCCTTAAATATTTATCTATTCTATTTTTTGATTTAGTAGGTTCATAATTACATTTTATTATCCATCAGTATCACGCTAAACATACATGTACATGCATACACATATACATTACAAATCTACATATATTATACTATCTTCTCTTGTAAATAATTTTAGACACATTCTACTCACTTTATGAAAATAAAAAATAACTACAATTAATTAGAGAATATTGACATTGATAAAGAGGTAAATATGAATACCATTTAACTTGTTAGGAAAATTATGTACATAAACTTCATTAGATATATCTACATATATGTAATTTACGATTTTTATAGTAATTTTTTATAATCTTTTTACAACAACATAAATCACTCAATGAAATCATATGTACTTTATGTTTATTGAATACAAAAGATGTGTTTTGTATTTATTCCTTTTGCTTTTCTAAAGTATTTTATTATGTATATGTAGGTGATTATGCTGGTGCACAAGGTTTAGGATTGCTAAGACTTCATTCAACATTTCGACATGATTTGAAGATTTATGCAAGTGATGAAGGGAGAGTACAGATGACAGCTGCAGCTTTTGCAAAAGGCTTACTTGCATTAGAGGGTGAATTAACGCCTATATTAGTACAAATGGTGAAAAGTGCTAACACTAATGGTTTGTTGGACAATGATTGTGACAGCAGTAAATATCAAAACATGTATGTAAGGCAATTTATTCAAGTATTGTTATGGAAGTCTGAGTACATTCTAATAATATATTTGTATAGGGTAAAAACACGACTTCATGAATTACTACAACAGGATCGAGAATTTACACGTGAAGACAGAGAGCAGATAAATCCTGGTAATGCATTAAGTATTAATGCAGCAATGGATTTTGTAAAAAATCCTGTTCGGTGTTGTCAGCATGTGCATACTTTGATTCAAAAGCTAATGGATATTGTTCGTATTAAGAAAGACGACCCTAAAACCAAAGGTATGATTTCATGTATAATCTCATTTTGAAATTATACTTATTTATCCAATATATTTAGATGCAATTCTTTATCACGGTGAAACGTGGGAATTAATGGGTCGACGGTGGGGGAAGATTGAGAAAGACTTTTGTACCAAAAATAAGAGATTTGACATATCAAAAATTCCAGATATTTATGATTGTATAAAGTATGATCTGCAACATAATAACCATACATTGCAATTTGAACATGCAGAAGAATTGTACATTTATTCTAAGTACCTAGCAGATATTGTAATACCACAGGTGAAGATTTTAATACTTTTTATTTAAAAAAAAAAAAAAAATAGCTTAACTTAGAAATTTTATAGGAATATGGATTAACAGTGCAAGAGAAACTTACTATAGGTCAAGGTATTTGCACTCCACTTTTAAAGAAAATAAGAGCAGATTTGCAGAGAAATATTGAGGAGTTTGGAGAAGAAACTGTTAATAGGCTTAATCCAAGGTAAAATTAGATCTTTAATATAATATTTCAGATGCTTAATATATGTATGATTATTATATATTTTAGGTACTCTCATGGCGTTTCTAGTCCAGGTCGACATGTGCGCACAAGACTTTATTTTACAAGTGAAAGTCATGTGCATTCCTTGTTAACTGTTTTACGTTATGGTGGTTTACTTGATGTACGTATATACATATTTATCTTATGTAATATATAAAAAATACTAATATATTAATTACACAGGTAATGAAAGATGAACAATGGCGTCGAGCTATGGAATATGTTAGCATGGTTTCTGAATTAAATTACATGTCCCAAATTGTAGTTATGTTATACGAAGATCCAACTAAGGATCCAAGCAGTGAAGAACGTTTCCATGTTGAATTGCATTTTAGTCCTGGTGTGAATTGCTGTGTGCAAAAGAATTTACCACCAGGACCAGGTTTTAGACCACATTCACGCAATGAAAGTAGCCATAATGTAGTAAGTAAACTTTATAATTATTACTTCTATTCCATTATTATAGAAATATATAAAAGCGTAAAGTTATATATATTTTATATTTTTAGGCTGAAAGTGGTGGTTCTGCTCAAGATACTATTTCACAATGCAGTACTCGAATAGAAGAAGAAGATGTAGAATTAGGAATTTTGGAAGACGATTTTATGAATCCACCATTGCAATCTGTATGTATAAATATTCTTAATTAAAAGTACAAACAAATTAACGCTTTCTATTAAATATTTAGGAAACACCTCCACCACCTATGGAAACAGATACTGTAGACGCAATGATAGATAGTCCAACAACTAGTAGAGCAGTTGATATGATGGATCTACACCCTAATATGATGGATGAACCATTTGATAGTGGTTTTTTACAGAGTTCTGCGCCTATTCCAATAAGGTATATGGATTTTTAATTAATCATTTTCTAATGCTATAAACTATAAACTATAAACTATCTACTATAAAATATTATATAACATTTAGTGCCAGAACTGTAGCTGGTCACGAAGCAGCAAGACTTGGTAGTCAGTTAGCTGCAAGTCAACGTCAACGACGTGATGCAGAGAGAGGAACAATTGTTGAACCGCGTGCTCGTAGTTATGATCATCAAAGACAAGACAAGCCTGAGAAAGGTAAGTAATGTACTTCCTCAATGTTTTTAACATTAATGTACATATGTAATAATGAGTCCGAGTCAATGTTCTTTGATTATGCATGATAGTGATACGTAACTAAATGATTATAAAAAACGTTCGTAAATAGTATTGTCGTAAAATTAATGTTATAATAATTTAGCAATATTGTTAAAAAATACAATATTGTATTTTAAGAACAATCTGCTCATTTTTTATTAGTAACGTTCCGCTTTTTGGACCCATAATGGTTATTATTAACAGTCTGATTTCATCAGAAAGTCTGGTGTTTCCTGTGTCTTTTTTTTATAGCTACAGACAAGCTGCAGTATCAGAGCTTGGACGCTGTCAACAAAGAAGGTATGTTTTAATGTTATCATTTCAGCAGGTATAATGCATTGTCTTATCATAGGTGATTGTTGCAGGATTTTCATAATGTTTAAACTTTTGATATTTTATTTCACCTTAATACAACAAAAATTCATCATCTCTTTCTTTTTTCTTTTTTTTTTTTTTTTTTTTTTTAGTTTTTTTAGCATACTAGTTAATCTCATTTTTTT